AAATTAAATAATTTCCCAACATGTTCTTCTTTGTTCTCTTTTCTCCAGTTAGCGGCGCCCGACGGAATTGAAGGCTCCGACATATCCAACACGGGCGGCCACGCCCTCGTCGGATGTTGGGATTGCCCCTGGTATGTCTTCCAATGACATCTCTTTGCTTCCCATCTTTTTTTTTTAAATTTCTGTGTACTCCTCTCCATTGTACTGAAAATTCTGATCCCAGTTAGATACAACCTTTTTAGTTACTTAAAAATTAAAGAAATTTTTCTTTAGATAATATATGGATTCCAGTCAAAAGTGTTGTCTTCAGAAATTTTTTTGAGAAATTAAAAAATTGTCAAATCAGAAGTTGGGTTTAAAGAAAGACTAATTAATAGGTATGATCATTTAAACCAAACAATAAATTGGAGATGACATCAAAGTTAGAGAGATATTTTAAATCAAAAATTGGTTTTGATATTGTTCAAAATTTCTTGATGAAACCCTTCTCTTAACACACCAACATGTGAAGGATTAATACATGTATGTATATCATTTTGTGTATATATATGGGATAAGGGCAACATCAATTCCTTGCAAAACGCTGTCTTGCTTTCTATATTATTTGACCTTGTCGACCGAGTCAAGGTTGTCGAAAAATGCAGTGTCTAAAGCAAGAAACATAACTTTCTACTAATCAAATGAGAGTGTGGAAGATGGATTACAACTTCAATTTATTAGATTCAATATTTTACACACCTAAAGCAAGTCAAGCTAAAACGATCAATTTATAGAAAATGTTCGTGCATGTTATGACCACGTAGTAAACTTGAGTAAATTTACAGGATTACTAACATTTGAATTTCTAACTTTTTTTATATGTTTTTCAATGTTATGAAAATTGGATCAGACTAGTTGACTCAATCAAAAAAATTGAGAATCGTTCCAATGTTCAATCTGATTAATCCTTAAAACCACGTAATTTAAAATCGGTAAAAAAATTGACCAATTAGCCTATTAATCGAAAAGTTGATCATCCGGAACCATTTTTGCCGGTTTGTAAATTGTTCAAAATTAAAGGAAATTACATAAAATCAGGCATTTAAGTTTACAAATTCAAAAATCAGATCTAAATTTTATTTAATCAAAAATCAGGTATTACATAATAATTATATATTAAACGTTTTCACCCAATTCAATTACAAACCTTAATTTTATTTCATTCTTCTCACTCTCCCTCCCCATTTTCTTCATCTCCTTCTGATGCCTTCCTCTCTGTCAGATGCTGTCGTCGCCGTCGTCGGAGCACTCGCCGCAGGAATCGCGTCGTCACCACCACTTAAGCAGCACCACGCTGCTTAATGAAGAGATCGGAGCCTCTGCGCGTGGAAGTGCAGGGGCGGCGATCTGAAATCTTTTCTGACTTGTGGCATTTCTTCAATGATTTTCTATGGCCCATGGTTTAAATATAGGGCGGTGGTATGGCTTGGAGATGGAGATGCTGTGAACGTCGCTGCCTGTGGCCCTGCTTGATTTCTTTTTTTTTTTCTTGGTTTTGATCGTTGGATGGTGTTTTGTGTGGAGATGGGACGGTGTTTGTGTGGTGGTCGACTTGATGATTTTATTGGTAGGGTGGTGGCTTAGATGGTGGTGGCGACGGTGTTGGAGGTGGTGGTAGGTTTGTGGTGGGTGGTGTGGTAGTGTGGTAATGTCTTTGTTGTTGGGGCGACGAGGATGGTGCTGGATCTGGTGGCGGCGACGGGGATGGAGGTGGTAGCGGGTTTAGGATTTTTTTTGTTGGATCTGGTGGTGATGTTGTGGCCCACTATTTGGTTACCTGTGATCAACTGTTTAACCGTGATCTTAAAATTCGATAATTTGTGACCAACAAATTTGAAAATATGTGACTAATTGATAAATTGTGACCTGTAATTTTTTATCTGTGACCTTAAAATTCGATAATTTGTGACCAACAAATTTGAAAATATGTTACTGATTGATAATTGTGACCTATAATTTTTTTTTATCTGTGACCTATAGAATTTTTGATTTGTAATCTCGAATTAATCGGTGACCAATTAATTATTTAATACGTGATCAATAAATAAGTTGTGACACATGATTATGTACACGTGACCATTAATTATATAATTGTGATTTTATTGTATTTAATTAATAAATAAATACCTATTTTTGCATTAATTAAACTTAAAACTTGATTTTTGAATTGTGCATAGTTAATGCCTTAATTGTGAATTTTTCTAAAAATTATTTACAACTTTCAGCCCAATAGTACATTAAAGCAATGAAAGGCCCGTAAGTTACTTGTCCATTTATTAGCCCACATATTTTAGTATTGCATCTCCAATGCTTTTGTAAGGAGATTCCAATGTGAGATAAAGAAAGACGTCATCCAGATTTTGTAACGCACTCTCCATTCCACTCTTGTGAATTATTTTTGAATTATAAAAGTTGAATAAATTAAAAGGTGGTAGCTCTATATTTAAAAAAAAAATGAAAATCATGGTGGTGTAACTTATTTATCTTCAAATCAATTTCTTTTTTTATTTGCAATCCAATTTACGCGTCTTTTATTTTAATTTTTTTCGACGATGCAATAAAAATACTATAAAAGAATTATACAATTCGCCACGTGACAAAATAAAAATTAAATGTTAGGTTTAAATCATTGATTACCCGCCTTTTGCCTATATATATTATTAACTTGAAAATTTAACTTAATTTTATCAATTTTTGTGGTATATAATTTATTTATTTATTACTATCGGTCAGACTTTTCTATCCTTGACCCATCGTCTGAGCTAGTTTTCAAAATATTGATAAATTATCATTGCCTTCAAAGTCGCAAATGGTGAGATTGAGTGGGGAAAATGAGTATCTTTGTTACCTTCCGATAGTATCCTAAATTTTTTGTCACTTCTATATGATTTATTTATTTTTCCTATACATACATCCAAGTGTGACTTAGATTTTAGCTACACCAATTGATTATAGATTGGAGTTTTCTATCTTTGTTCTGCCAATGGTTTTTTGCGCCCAAGGTATTTTACATTGTTTTTTATTTAAAAGTTTCACAATTTGTTAGTTAAAAGATAATTAATTTAATTTTCAATATTTTTTTGAATATCTTTTTTTTTTTTTTAATCTCGAGCTGATTTAATCATTTGTAAATTTTTATAGTGAAATGATGATAATTTATCCATATTTTAAAATTTTCGCGGAATTTATCTACTAAAATAGTTTTACATAATAATAAAATATATTTGACAAAAGAGCAAAATGTTAAATCCATAGAGGGTAACATAAATATGACCTCATAAAATATGATGATGGTTGCATCGACGATAGTAACATACATTTTCATTAATTTATTAGGTCGTTATGAGTATATATGACGTAGATAATTCCATAACCGTCTTAACCAAATTAAAATAAAAAGAAAGTTGACGAATTTTGTTAAGAAATTCGATACAACGATTTTTCTATAATGTTTTAGCGAAAATTACACCATAACTCCCCAACCATTGCTTCGGTTGCAAGTTGGTCCCAACCTATTTCTTTACTCGTAAATTGGTCATAAATTTCTTTATAGTTGCATAATCAGTCTCAATTCATGAAAATAATCCTTTTAAAAAAAAAAAAATTTATCATGTTACAACTCCAAAAACATACCTCACTTCAAAATTAAAAAGCACTAGCTCAAGTTGTAAAGCAATTACTAGCACTGTAAAGCTTGACATCCAATTATCACACGACGATTTAACACTGAATTAATACAGTTTTTGGCATTGAATACAGATTATGCAATTATAACGAAAAATTAAGGACCAACTTACTAAATTTTTAATGTTCGTCACAAAATTGATATTAGAGTGTTAATTTGGAGCTCGTAATGAAATTTCCCCAGTCTTAATCTTTCTGTATTAGGTTTGTCTCTTTTAAAGAGGAGATTTTATACCTCATCTAACTACGAAGAGTTTCGAGTATATCGAAAGAGGATGTGATAGTAACCTTGCGACTTTATCTAGAACCAGGTATTCAGCAAATAAGTCATCCTTAACAATTATCTATTCCTTTTCTGTCGAGCCGCCTCTCTTTGTCATTCGATGCCTCCGCCTCCCCTTTCTATAACATACCCAAATGCCCTCCTTTTCAATCACTTAGGAAAATCAATACCAATCAAAGTCATGTCTAAGTAAAGCTTCGTCTATTATTTTTTCGACCACATGGGAATTTACTCAACATATTCCCTAGTCTTCCACACTGTTCAAGTAAGTGTACAACTCTTTACAGGGGCCTTTTTTTCTTCTGCCCACTCTCCATTCACACGATTCTCAAAGCA